GGTCTTTGTTTTAGGAGGGTCAGCTGTTCCTCATCTAGTGGTAATCAGTTGTCAATGTTCCTTTGGATAAGATTGTTCAAATTGTTCACCATCCTTAGCCACCAGGGAAATGAAAGTTAAAACCATTCTGAGTGATTATGGAGGTAATCAACTGATTTCTGATTGGATTTAAGGCCTGCACCTCAGGAGGAAACACATGCCTGGTATTGTGAATGTGGCCAAGAAGCCACAACTGGTGAGCTCACAGGCCTCAGGGGAGAAACTACTATTATTCTGTTAAATGGACATAGTATCAGACTGCGGTATAAATTTTGTATCTCTATACCCATACATTAGTGTAGCTATCAGACCTCATCAGATGTTTCTTTGTGCAGTGGATGGTGGTTAACACAGACACTCAGAACTGGTCAAAGTGCAGAGCATGTGTCAGTGCAGGGCTTATCCGCAAATGGGACATCTATATCATCCCCTCAAGACTCAAAGACCATTTTGGAAAAGGGGATAGAAAGATTACAAGATCTTATAGGAATGGAGCAAAACAGTGTCTTTTGGGCATGACAAGACCACTGCACTCAAGAACCCACAGCAGCTGTTGTTGCCAGCACAATAAATACATGCACTACATTAAGCCAATCAACACTCTAGCACGGAGGGGGTGGCTAATGAGCCTCTACTCATAATTAAGGAGCTATTAACAGTCAATGAATCTGAGGGAGGGAGAATCAGCTTTTCTTAAGGGTATGACCCCTGGTAACTGATCACACTACAGTGAATGGCCCCATGCCCATACATCTCTATATCTATCTATCTATCTATCTATCTATCTATCTATCTATCTATCTATCATCTATCTATCATCTATGCAATGCAAATTGGATTGGGTGGGTTATTTTCAAAAACAGGGCATGAAGTTTGGAGGGGTGGGGAAGTAAGGGGTGGATTTGGGAGGAGTTAGGAGTAGTGGGGAGGTAAATATGATCAAAATACATTGCATGAAATTCTCAAAGAATAAATAAAAATATTCTATTTTCTAAAAATCAAATAAAAATCTCAGTTAAAACCTAATCAATAGAATGGATCATGAAGAAAAAAAAAGTATCAGGGCTGGAAAACAAGGTAAAGGAATCAAATCACTCAGTAAAGTTCAATGACAAATGTAGAAAAATCTACGAATGAACATGTTATCCATCATGGAAGGAGCATACCTCAACATAATAATGCTAGATACAACATACAGCCAATGTCTTATTGAATGGAGGAAAACTCAGAGTTCCCTCTACTATTAGGAAGAGGGAAAGCATGTCCATTCTCTCTACTTTTCAATATAGTGCTTGAAGTCTTAGCTAGAGCATTAAGATAAGAGGCAAAAATAAAGGGATATAAATAGGAAAAGAAATCAAGGTATCTCTGTGATGGTTTGAGTGAGAATGTCCCCCATAGGCTCCAAGTATTTGGATATTTTGTCTCTAGTAGGTGGCACTATTTTTGGAGGTCTTAGAAGGTGTGGCTGTGCTAGAGGAAGCATATCACTGGGGGTGGGCTTAGAGAGTTCTTAAGCCTTGCCCGATCTCCAGTCGTTCTCTTGCACCCTGTGTGTGCTCCAAGATGTATAGCTTAGCTTCTCCTCCTCCTCCAGCCACCTCTGCCACCATGCCTCACTGCCATGATGGACTCTTGCCCTTTTGGAACCATAAGCTCAAATAAACTCTTCCTTCTATAAGTTGCTTTGGTCAGTGTTTCTATCACAGCAACAGAAAAGTAACTAATACAATCTCTATTTGGAGATTTTTTGATTCTTTATATAAGAAACCCTAAATATTCCACAAAAGGCCCCTTAGAGGTGACAATTTCAGAAAAGTGGCAGGATACAAAAATTAACACACAAATATCTGTATCCTCCCAATATCCCAATCATAAACAGACTATAAAAAATTCAGGGAAATGATCCCATTCACAAGAGCCACAAAAATCCCTGGGATTAAACCTAACCAAGGAAATGAAGGATCTCTACAATAAGATTTTAAGACCCCTGAAGAAAGGAATTGAGGAAGATACTGGAAGTGGGAAAGATCCTATGCTCATGGATTGGAAGAATTCATATTGTGAAAATGATCATCTGTGGTGATTTGAAGGAGAAATATTCCCCACAGAATCAAGTAACTGAACACTTGGTCACTTAGTGGCACTGTTTGGAGAGGTTATGGAACCTTTAGGAGGTATGGCCTAGCTGGAGGAAGCACATCACTAAAGGTGGGCATTGAGAGTTCATAGCCTTGCCCTACTTCCAGCTTACTATCTCTGCTTCCTGTGCATGCTTGATGATGTGAATTCTCAGCTTTCTGCTCCAGCTGCCTCCTGCCAAGCCTCCCTACCAGGATAGACTTATACCCCTGGAATAGTAAGCCCAAATAAACTCTTAATTCTCTAAGTTTCTTTTGGTTATTGTATTTTAACACAGCAACAAGAAAGCGAACTAGTACACATTCCTACCAAAAGCAATCTTCAGAGTCAATGCAATGGCAATAAAAATCCAAAAGCCATTCTTTACAGATAGAGAAACAGAAACAGCCCAAAAGTTTACATAGATGCACGTAAGACCCAAGATAGCCAAAGCAATCCTGAACAAAAAGAATACTGCAGAAGATATCTCCATGCTGATTTCAAATTATACTATAGAGCCATAGTAATAACAACAGCATGGTACTGGTACAAAAATACACACACAGATCAATGGAATAGAATTGAGGACCCAGATATAAATCCACATTCATACAGCTACTTGGTATTTGACAAAGAGGCCAAAAATACACATGGAAGGAAAGAGCATCTTCAACAAATTTTGCTGGGAATTTTGGATTTCAATTTGCAGAAAAATGAAACTAGATCCTATTTCTCACCATGTATAAAACTGAACTGCAAATAGATCAAAGACCTCAATGTAATCTGAAACTGCTAGAGGAAAAAGTAGAGTATGCTTCAACTGATTGGCACAGGTAAGGACTTTCTGAATATGACTACAGTGCTACAGAACATAAGACCAATAATCAACAACTGCTATCTCAGGAAGCTAAGACTCTTCTGTATGTAAAAAGAAACAGCCAATGCAGTGAAGTGGCAAATCAGAGAATGAGAGAAAAATCTTTACCAGCCACTCATATGACAGAGGATTAGTGTCTAGAATTTACAACAACAACAACAAAAACTGAGAAAGCTAAAAAATTAAGAATTAAGAAAGTAAACAATCCAATTAAAAACAGACTATGGAACCGAACAGAGAATTTTTGAAAAAAGAAATGCAGCCAGGCAGGAATTTTAGCCATCAGGGAAATGCAAATTAAAACAATTTTAAGATTCCATCCTATGTCAATCAGAATAACCATCATTGATACAAATTACAACAAATACTGTTGGTGAGAATAGAAACTAGTACAACCTCTTTGGAAATCTGTGTGGAATTTTCTCAGAAAACTAGGAATAGAATTGCCATATGACCCAGATATACCACTCCTGGGCATTGAATGCATATTCAGTGGACTTAATCCTACTATGAAGATGCTTGCATATTCATGTTCATTGATGTTCATGTTCATTCATGTTCATTCATGTTGATGTTCATGTTCATTCATGTTCATTCACAAGAGCTAGGAAACAGAATAAACTGAGATGGCCATCAACAGATGAAGAAAAATATGGTACATATATACATTGGGGTATTACTCAGCTGTAACAAAAAATGAAATCACAAAATTTGCAGGTAGATGGATGGAACTAGAATGATTATACTGAGTGAAGTAACTTGGGCCCAGACATAAAAATGCCATATTTTCTCACTCATATGTTGATCCTAGAGTCAAATCTTTTGTGTGTTTAAGTTGGAGCACAAGTGGAAGCAAGGAAACTAGAAAGGGGCCTTTTGGTGGAGGGACACATTAAGGGAGGATGGAATAGTAGATATAGGTCAAAACAAAAGTAGAGAAGTGGAACACTGAGTGAGGAATGCCTTAAGCAAGGGGGGATACTGAAATATTGGAAGATCAAGAGGTAAAGAAGAGGACTAATCCAAAGAAGGGGTATAAAAAGCCATATGGGAGCCTATTATCTTACAACCCAACTAAAAAACAAGTTAGAGGGATAGTAAACCACATATGAAATAAAAGGAGAGGGAGGAGTGTAAGAGTTAAAGGAAAGAAGGCATGGGGACAGGGGGATGGAGAACAGGGAGGGGTTGTAGGTGGATTAACCCAAACTAAGGATATATGAAAAAGCCTTATGGAGACTCAGTAGTTAGTAAGCTAATTTCAAAATAAAAATTTTCAAAGAGTTTGAACAAAATTACTCTGCATGGGTGGACAATGTGGCTCCCCAAAGACATGGGCTATTAATGACAGTCACAGTACAAGGTATGGGATACCTCACTATGAGTTATTGGTTGGAAAAGCCCCAGAAGTCTCCAAAACAATACAGACAATTGCCATTGCTCTTGCTTACTCACTATAACTCTATAGTAAGACCCTATTTCTGAAGTCACCACACACTTTGCCTGCATGACATAAAGAAATCAGTCTCAAACTAACTGGAAAACTTCCTCACTGGTGGCTAGATTTCATAGTGTCTGAAGGTGCTATGCAGGTTGCTGGGGAAGAAAACACATTCTTGATCTTACTCAATGATGTATCCTGGATGCTGTAATGCTGTCCTGCCAGGCAAGTGGACCCATTGGTGCAGTGATGACATTATTGTTATGGGGGTAACTGATTTCTGATTAGATTTGTGGTCTTCTTCACAAGAGGGTATTTCATGCCTGATACTATAAATCTGGTTAAAAGTCCATGCCTGAGGAGGTCACAGGCCCTAGGGTAGAACCTGCTATTGTTGTTTCTCTGAATGGTCATGCTGTCAAATTGCATTCTAAATCTTTGTGTTTAAACATATGGGCTGCTCTCAGTCTCGGTGAGAGACGCTTGTGTTCACAGTGGCCAGCAGTCAATGGAGAGATTCATGACTGAAGTGCTGAGAATAAGAGACTGAGTGCTCAGCCCTAAACAGTACATCTGTATTAACTCTACCACCAATAATACTTAGGGAACACTGCAGAAGAGGAGTTGGAAAGAATGTAAGAGATTGAGGATGGGGAACAGTACTGAGATAAGGTGTCTTCTGAACACAACATGGTTATGGCACTTACATGGCACTCACAGCAACTGTGGTTGCCTGCACAAGATCTGCATAAGATCAAGCCAGCCAAATTCCCAATATAAATGGAGTAGATGATCTCTAGGCTCCACTTCTTATTGATGACCTATTGATAATGAACAGTTGCTAAGGGAGGATATGGCAGCTGGTAGATTTCATGTGCTTTAGTGGATGTCATCATACATACCCATGTGTATACAGATAGCACTAAATGGACTTAGTTGGTTATCAAAAAAATACATGAAGTTGGGGTGGGGAGCATATTGGAGGGAATACAGGGAAGTTAGAGAGGAAAATGAGAATAGAAATTCTCAAGAATAAAGAAAATTTAGAAAGAAAATGAGAAATTTCCTGATATGTGCACAAGGAATTATTCCCAAGATATGTTGTCAAATGAGTCAATTATTTTACAAAACCATCTACATTATATACATGATATTATAAAATATATATTTTAAACTGTGTTTAAAACTAATATTTGGGAATAATTAAATGACAGTAATTCCAGGCTAAACAGAAGAGTTTTGACATTATACAGTGGCATACATTGGAAACACCTGTGTTTTGATTTTGTACTATGTGAACATGTCACCTATAAAATGAATAGAGATTAAATTTGCATATAATAAAAATTAAAGATATTATAAAAAGAAAGAAAGCAGACATCAGAAGGCACTGAAGATACCTTTCCCAGTGTTGAATATGGAAAAGAAGATGCCTGTATTGTTGAATGGTCTACAATGCTTGTTCCTTTCCAAATACTTGGCTTTTAATTTTATCATTTTTTAGCATCAGGAATCCTCACGACAGTGTCAACATTTTTCCTTAAATTTTCCAGTCAGGTAGTTTGAGTTGAGAGAAAATGGATTAGAAAGATAAACACATTATTTTCTGTGGCCTCAACATACCAGGCTGACAAACTGAGTCCCACATACTATTTGGGAATAGCTTATGAGGATCAAAAATACCTCAAAGAATGAGAACCAAAGAAAACTGACCTAATGGCTATGATCATCTCCGTGGGGTACTTGGCCTTCAGGATTTTGTTCAACTCAGTGGTTGCAGACTCCAAGTGCTGGATGGCAGCAGCCTACAGGTAAAAGAAATATTCCGTCCTGGAAGCTTAACTCTGTGTCTTATCATACAACCCATCCTCTACCTTGCATCCATTTCAGTCTCATTATTTCCTCATAACTCTTTACCAGCAACTCAATTGCCTCTCTGGAAATAATCACGATCAAAGAATTCTTGTTAAAGGTTCCCAGAGATAATCGTGGACCTATAATCACTGTAAAAATAAGAGATATATTCTTCTTATTCAACTTAATAATAAAAACCTCATTTTGTAGCCCAGAAACCACTCATTCCTCCAAAAAGTGAAAAGCGTGAGTGACGGGCGAGTGCAGGGCACGCCAGGAAGGGGGGTGGAGCTTAGCTGCCTTCAGAGCAAGGGGCGGGGAGAGGGAGATTGGAACAGGGAAAGGAATTGTGGGGGCGGTGGGGTAAATGGTAGAGGCCTCCTGTGGGAGTAGAAGTGAGAAGGGGCATCCACAGACTGTGGGGTGAGACCTTGCGCCTATGTGGCTCGAAAGCTAACAGAGACTGTGGGCAGGGCTGGAATGACATCTCTCTTTGAAACCTCCCTATCATATAAACCATGCAAAACCCAAGATAAAAATGTGTTATGCAGTTTGTCCACCCACGTCAGGGGCATGAGACCCTGAGAGAGTGAGGGTGAGTCAAACAGAGAGCAGGAAGGAGAAAATTTAGTGGCACACATACGAAAGGGGGTACTATTTGTTCCATGTTTCATATGAACAGTCTCATAAAAAAATAGAGGTGGGATTCCTCATAACTTTCCAATACCAGAATGTTACCTCTTAAAGAATAAGATTGCATACATATCATGTATGTAACAGCCTGTTCTAAGCTATAGCTATATGCCATTTTTCTGTAATTTCAATATCTATCTTGAGAAATAAAGATTACTTTTATGCCCATTTCACAGGGAAAGATTGTGAGGCATAGGAAAGGAGTAAATCTAAGCAGAGCTTAGATTCAATTCCAGTAATCTGCCTCTTGAGTTTATACTCCTAATTATAACTTCTATTCCTTTCTATTGCTCCCTACATTCAAGTATCTACCAAATCCTAGTAATTATACTCTTTTCATCTGCCCAATTCTTCTCTTCTGTATTACTGTTTCACACTCTCTAGTCGTTAGTCCTTCAGTTGTCTCCCTATACACCATGGAATCCTTTTGCTTAAAATCATTCTATTAGAGAGTAGGATGCATATTTGTTTGGCAAATGATAAAGCAGATATATTGAATTGTTAATGGTAGACTTTCCCATTTCAACTTCTCTGTATGCCTGAAAATTTGTATAATAAAGTAAGAAAAAACACCTGGCCTGGGGAGATGGCTCAGTTGGTAAACATTTGCCTTGCAAACAAGAGGACTTGAGTTTGAGTTCCCAGAACCTACATGAAAATCTCAGTGTAGTGGAATATACCTACAATCCCAGTGATGGTGGTGTGGGAGGCAGAGACAAGCAGATCCTTGGAATCTTGTGGGCTAATTGGCCTTGGTGAAGTTCCAGGCCAATGGGAGACCCTATCTCAAATAAAAAGATGAGCACCCCTCTGACCACATATGTGTGCTGTGCATATGTGCACATCTGTTGTCTCCCATATGTAAACAAAGCAAAGCAAAAAACCAAAACAAATCAGAATTCCCTGAACTCTTCTGGAATTCGCATTGCTCTTAGGTTAAAAGTCTAAGTTTTCTTACCATACTTTATTAGCCTTTTCTGGCTTGGTCTATGATTACTTCTATAGTATCTCATCCTGTATTTTCTATCCCTGGGCATGATGCCCTTTCCATTATGAAATTTTTTCAGTTCTGTGAATATTCCATATCCTTTCTTGTCTTTGGAACAGTACACAAAACAGTCTTCATCTTTCTTAGTCTCCTGCTTATCTCTACTCCTCAGGTCTTTTCTGAACTAGCACTTACTCTGAGATGCTTTCCCTGACTCCTCATGGAGTGACATATATACATACATCTACTATTTTATTAAAGTTTTATTTTTCTATCCCTCCAAGGAGACTATGAGCCTCATGATAGCAAGGACTATGTAATTCTTCTTTACCTAGTAAAATATAAGAACATTTCCTAAAACAGTATCTATTATGCAGTAGTTACACCATAGATAATTTAAATTAATGAATAAGTAACTAGAATGACTTGTATCCCTAATGCCTAACACATTCTTAGTAAATAGCTGCTGACTGATGCATCTCCAGTCCTCAGTGATCTTATCTTCATCAAGTCCCTGGAAATGGAAATGGGTATCTCTCAGCTTTGCTTATCACTGTGCTGAATTATATAGCTAAGCAGTAGTTACCTCAAATCTCCGTATATCCATTTCAGCTTGTCCTTTTAGCAATGGGAATTGTCTGGGAGTCTCACGGATCATCACGCTCCATCTGAAATGAAGTTAAAACACAGATGGATATTTAAGCTCTGCTTAATTAGAAGGTACAATCTATGCTTCACAGTTCAAGAAAGATTTCAAAATGTTTATGTGGTGGGGGAAATGCACTACAAGGTGGACTCAAGCAGTTTCTGGCCACCTAGTTACAAGATATACCACAAAAGACTATTCTGCTTCATGAAGTCTCTAGGTCACTGTGATGGAAGGGATTCTTCTCAGGATTCTCAGAGAGTAGTGCTTTGCATTCAAGAGCACCAGAGATATTTTTATGAAATATGTTTATCAAGGTCCTGCCCCAGATGTGATGTGCTCGGATGGATATCTTGAAAAATTGCCTTAAGAAATTCTTATGAACAACCATAAGCCAAATACTCAAACAAACTCCAGTATAAAAAGTATTTCTTGGGACATAAGATGGCAGTATACTCTGTTTTCTACAGCAGAGACATAACATACTAGAGGCCCTTTCCTAAGGAAAATTGTGCTTCCACTAGAGAAGTGATTGTCCAATTTGAATGATATTAAGAAGAGAATACTTGAAAATTTATCCATGAGGCCCCTGCTCTAGGATCTTTTAGGTGTGAAGAGGGGATTCAGTGATATTTGATTGACATATGGTAAATCTGGTTTCCTAATAGACAAGACATCCCAAATGGCCCTGCACTGAAACCATAAATAAGAACTTGTGCTCTGGTAGAGAGATTACATTCCTGACTGAGATTATATAATGGAATAACTGGTATGAGGTTGGAAGAGGACAAAGATACAGTCTTTTGGCCACTCACCTGTCTAAAATTCTCACATGAGCCTGCTCTACTCTGTTGAGAATGTCTAATGGTGACTTGCTTTTGTTCCAGAATGCACCCCAGCCAAGGACACGAGCAAGATCATTGCCAGTTCCAAGTGGGATGACTGCCAGTTGACACTGCGAAAAGAAAAGAAGACACCCTTTTTAGACAGTCCTTCCGCTATTTTTCACTAGTGAAAAGACACAGAGAGTGCTCTTTGGGAAGGACAAAGACCTTAAAGTCTGTGATTTTAAAGTATTTTAAAGGACAAGAAATGTAGTAAGAAGGTATTTGAAGTTGAATGAAATTTTCTCGAAGGAGTCAGATCTTAGTCTTAGTAAGAGGGAACCTACTCAGTAAAGTGGGAAGTTTTTGGAATATGACAAAAGTCATAGCTATTAGCTATAAGAGAGGAATATAACCACACATTTTTATTTAAGTTGGGTCCCAGTAGGGGAGATGACTCAGAAGACTGTATTCAGAAAGAGCAAAGGGCTGCCTAGAAGAAAGTTTTTGTCCTTCTAGAGACTCAGAGAAGAAAATCATTAGCCTCACGAGGGGAAGAAAATTGGAACTTTCCCCCCTTCAGCTCTTTATTTTGAAGCCCAGAGAATGCTTGTTACTTCTGCATATTCCTTCATTTCCCCTTCCCAGAGACAACCAGAAAATAGAGAAGATTTAGATTGGTCATGTTAACTACTAACCCTGTCGAAAATAAGTTTGTAGATAGGGAGCATGCAGACTTGGGACTTCTTAGGATAGACAACCCTATATTCCCTCTCTAGCAATGGTTAAAATGATTCAGCCAGGGACTTACTCTTTCATGTAATCCAAAGGCATCAATCACAGATAAGACCCAGCTCACACTGCCATCTCCACCACAAACCAGAACACGGAAACGAGCAAAGTTCTTGAACATAGACAGGCTACAAGGAATAAGAGAAAATGGAATAATTTCATGAATAGTTGGAATTTATAAATCTTTCTTACAATATGTCAGCACCCATGAATTGCTACCTTAGCATTGTCATAACAGTAGCCCACCTTCTTTTGGTCTTAGCCTCTGTCTCCATATATATTTGAGACTACAACTCCACAGAGATATATCAGAGATCAGAGACCAACTCATATTCTTTTGTGCTTAAACTTGTTCTGGAAGCCACTAATAACCTAGTGAAAACCACCTGCCAAGGTAATTGAAGAATACCTCGCATAGTGGTTACTGGGCTCACAGGATCCAGTGCTGGAGTGCCAAATGGTTCCCTAATAAAAGTCTGTAGCAGACATTATGTGTGTGTGTGTGTGTGTATATATATATATATATATATATATATGTATATATATAATTGTCAGGAAATGTGGATGTCTTGCCAATCAGAAAAGGTGAAGCAAGTTTGGAAGCAGGACATACACTTAATAAAAGCCCTCCAGGCACCAACTTAAATTGCTTCCAAGTCACATGTTTATATAACTGTGTGGGTATAAGGACTGATTCCAGGAATCCTAGCCTAGCCTAGAATATACAGAGAGGATAGTCCCTTCTATATACACAACCATATCCCTTACCCTGTGCTTACCCTGCTTCAGGTCCACCCTTTGACAAGTCAAACACTTGAGATGGATTAAGATATTGCTTGAATTTTCGGAGGAAGATGATCCCTTGATGATCTCCGCTTTTGGAGTTGATGAAGATAAGCAAGGGACATGAACAGGCAGATGGCCAATCAAGATTCCAGAAGTCTGATGATACCACTAGTTGGCCTGATATACACAATAAAAAGAAAAAGAACAAGGCTTTTGAGATGAAGATGAGATATGATTTAGCATTACAGTTTGAAATTGTTTGTAATTAAGGGGTAGAGGGAAAGTTAGGGCATCATCAAGGAGAGAAGAAAAGTATTCGGCTATTTCTAGGCAACACCCACCATTTTCTGAGAATTTATTATACATCAGATAACATACTAGATATTTCTCAAGGTAGGGAGATGGCCACATACACAAGTGAATATGTTAGAATTCAAGGAATCAAGAAATTCCTGCAACAACCAGAAGATTAGTAAAACTCTGTGAGAAAACAAAGAAGGCAAAGAGTGAGAGCACAGGAGGAGCAGCGACACCCAAACAAGTTCCCTCTGTTTGAGCTAGCTCAGTTCTCACTTGGACCAGCTCTTCCCCAGGAAAGCAGGGAAGGAAAGGCTGTCATTTAGTCAGAAGGTAATGATAGAGATCCCAGCTGAGTGGCATCTCAATGGAGGGTGAAGCCAGGAGCTTCGATTACTTCTCTAAGGCTCTGACAGAGCAATTCATGTTATTACACAACTTCCAGTGGGAAAATAAGTCTATTGAGAAATAGTCTGAACAAGAGAGATACTTTGAATAATCCAAAATGTTGAAGTTATCCATGGAGAAGTGGGGCTTATAGCAGTCTAAATAGCCAAATCATACCAGCTTATGCTGAGTTTTAAAGTTTGTTGGCAAGGAGATAGGCAGTGAGTAATAGTTTCCTAGGTGAGGAATGCTAGACAAATAACAAGCCATCCAACCTCTGAGCTCATGGCTTTCCAGGGGTGCTCCAGCAAAAATAGATGCACAGGCAAAAATCACGTTACTCATTCCCAAATAGAATGGATGTGTTGAGCATGAAGAAAATCTGTTGTGCCTGGAAATTCTAAGCAGCTTCCTCTATGGTCACATTCCCACTAGCTGGCTGGTAGAGTCTGAAGGCATCCTAAGCAGTTGTGCACCAAATTTTCAGGGCTTGCCAGAACTTGTAGCTACAAGAGGAATGTGCTGTGTTTCCTTAATAGTATAGCTTAGAAGCAATTACTTTCAATACAAAACAAAACCAATACCCTTAGCAAGACTCCTAACCATACCCTTATCAGCATTTTTAACAAAAGGTAAAAATGGTATCACAATGGTAGTTCTGACACATTCATTCATTCAACAAATATGTATTGAGGGCATTCTATGTTTGTTCTTCTTTATGTTCTGAGAATACATTGGTGGACAAAATACAACTACTGTTTTGACAAAGGAGGAGCGATAAATATGAAAGTTACCATATTATGAAGAAAATAAAGCATATAAAGGAAGTAGAGATTGTTATTTTACACAGTGTGGTCAAGGACACTTCTCAGAGATGGTCACATTTGAGGTGATATTTGAGTAAATAAAGGATGAGTAATGTGAATATCTGGGGAAAGAGATTTTGGGCAACAAAATGTGCTAGGACCCTAAGAAGGTAGGCTAGGGTGTCTGGGAACAATTGAGAACAGCATAGTTGTTGCAGAGTTAGGGAGGGGGGAAGTGGTGGAAGTTATTGTCAGATGGCAAGGGGAGATAAAATGACATCAAACTGTTAGAGGAAGCATTGCAAAGGAAGGATGAGCCTGAGACTGCTACACAAAACATGAGTCAAAACATAAGATATATAAGGTGGTTTCTTCTTATGTTTTTGTCTCCACCCAACAAACAATGCAGACCCCAAGTGGCATGATTTGAATATAAAATGCCCCTTGCAGGTTCATGTGTCCTTAGTTGGTGGTGCTATTTTTGGAGACTGTAGAACCTTTAGGAGGTAAGGCCATGCTGGAAAACATGTGTCATTGGAGTGGTAGGCTTTGACAGTTACAGCTCAGCCTCAGTTCAAGCCCCAGGCTCCCTGCTTGTTGGCATGCACAGATGTGGGCAAGGTCACATTCTCCTGCCACCATGGAGCTTCCCAACGCCATGTTTTCCCCGCTATGATGGACTACAGTATATTCCTTCAAACTGTCAGCCAAAATAAATCCTTCTTTTAAGTTGATTCTTTTCAAATATTTGCTCACAGCAATGAGAAAAGTAACTACCTCTAACTGCGTTGGGAGTATAGGAAACTGAGAAAATCAGAGAAAAGATAGCAAGATTCTTTTCTAAATACTATTTTGTTAAAAACGTTGACCTTTGTGAATATATTTACCAGTCAATAATTAAGAAATATGAAAATGAAATTTACAGCAATGCTTTCTTGCTAGCCATGAGCGTATAGGTGAAATAATGTTTTAGATCCATCTGGTAGCATGGGCTGTGTTTTCTAGTATATGTCTACAAAAGAAGATAGCTGTGTGCTACTGTTCGTTGCTCTCCAGGTTTACTCACTAACTAGTAGCAAACATCTTAACTTCTCTAAGGGTTCATCTTTTTATATGTATATGTATACTAGTAGCGTGTTGCAATGATTAATAAAATAATTGTGCATGAAGTGGAATGCTGCCGGCTAAAGAGAAAATTCTGCAATTAAGGTAACTTGAACTTCAGTGTCAAACCTCATTTGGTCATTGTTGTGAATACACAGGAAGGTGCCAGAAGGAAGCCAGTTTAAAGAAAATATAGAGGCAGCTCCAGCTAGAATTTTCCTAAGAGGCAATGAATATCTGAATTTGACCAAAGCCAAGTTTGTCAAGAGAATCTTGTAAGGTGGAAAATGTGTTGTTTCATAATTTTATTCTTTAATTCAGATGAGAACATAGAAGGCTGGCTACTAAACTTTGCAGTACTCAAAGCTTGAGAAAGAGCTACTAGATAATAGAATCAAGTTTAGAAAAAGATGAAAACAGACCTATGAGTCAAAATCTACAGATGAAATATAAAGAGGGTGTGAAGCTTGGCCTTTGGGCTCAAGACCATAAATTGTCTTGAACAGAACAATGGGGACTTGACTTAGCAGCAGCAGTTGTAAAAAGGGCATAGGGGATTTTGTTGCCTGTAGTCTGTGTGAGTCAACAGCCTGAAAGAACATCTCAAAGGTGGGATGGTGGCAGGCGGGTGTTATTGGAAGGAGGGTGGAGATAATGGGGGTGCTAGGACTGGGGAGGAAGAAGAGGGGTATCCTGGGAAGAAGAAGAGTGGGGATTGGTGAGTCTTAAGGGGCCGAGAAACCCAGAGGAGGGTGTGCTACCTTCAGGGCCCCATGGGAGGTGCATGTATAGTGTTTAAACATTGGTGCATTTTGTACCTGGGAGCTGCTTAACAGGGGGCACAGTGCCAGAGAGAAGAGAGTTCCTTTTGAGTGGTTAGTGGGAGTGACCCAGGAGACTCCCAGGATAACACAGACTATTGCTAAATCTCTTAGTTGTCTCCCAGGACTAGTAAATGGGACCCTGCTGGTGAAGACAGGACATACTTTGGGTACAGGACTTGAAGCAGTGGGGCAGGAACTGACCTGGAAGCCTTCTAACTGAAGTTTGGCGATCATAATGCTAGATGATAATATGTAAACTTCCAAGGGAAAAAAACAATCAATGGTCCAACTCTGCCCTAAAACCTAATAACCATAAGGACTGGCATGGCAAACTACCTGTATTGGTGCAGTAGTGGCACTGTTATCCGGGGGTAAATTAACAGTTATGTAATTGAACTTGAAGTCTCCTTTGTGGGAGTGAACTCATGGGTGGCACTGTAAATGCAGTCAAGTACACATGGCAGGAGAGGATGTAGATCCTAGAGAAAGCCCTATCTCCTTCATATCTTGAGACAAATGAAATTTCTTACTATATGCTAAATATTGATCCTTATATTTACATGCAAGCATACTGTACACCACTCATCAAAGAAGCTTCTTTTCGAAACAGATGGAGGCTACTACAGAACTGTATAACTGGTCAGACACAGAGAATGTACGTCTGAGAGATGCTCAGTACTAGGTTACACATCTACAGTTGCACTGGTATACCTAAGGCTCATGGAACACGGCAGAACAAGGGACAGAGAGAAAACTAATGCATCCCTCAAGTCTCAGAAGTAAAGCTTCCTTGTACAGGAGAGTGTGATGCACACGGACGGCCACAACTGCCCAAGTTTTAAAGAATAAGAGACTACGAGCATGTATCCCTGGATATTAAACCTCACCTACCCACAGCTGTGGAAAAGGGGGCAAAAAGACTGTAAGCGCCAGGGCTGGTTCATGAACACAGGGAAGCAGAGGCTTTCAGGCCACTGGAAGCTTGCACATGTGAACTTGTGGCAATGGTGGCATCAAGCACAGGACCTACGCCAGCTCAATTGAACAAGGGCCCAGATGGGTAGCAGGCCAGCCCTAGATTGAGAGCTGTTGGAGGCCGGTTGCTGCTGGGTGGGGGAGAGTATGCCTTGCACATGATCTCTGGATGGACTGACTGGACTCCAGTGGATGAATTTGCACTGAAGGGTGTCTCTGGGTGCAAATGCTTGACTGCATAGGACTTACTATGAATGGCAGAGTTTGTGGGGTCCAGTGGGGGGATGGAGGAGGCATGGATGGAGGAGGGTGGTCTGGGTTTAATTGAGAACTGTTGTATGAGAATAAAAGAGCTCTTGCTTTTTTCAGTTACTAATACAACCACCATGCTCTAAAACAGGGGACCACTATTCTCTGGGGGCTTCAAGTACCGTTATGAAATAGAGCTGTCAATAAATCACCGTCCAGGAATTGACAAAGCATAAGCAAAGAGTGCTGGGACAATAACTATGCTAATTTCTTATTTGAAAACAATTTTGGTATTAGTTTTCATTTTAAAAGTAATATAACCTAGGTTTTCAGTAGCTCTTGAACCATCTGGAAACATACATTTATTTAATAGATTGTGTAGTATCTGAAAAAAGGCTGAAATAAATTTTGATCAGTCAGAAAGAATTGTTACAGAGGCTACAGAGAACATGCCCATATACAAATATACCCAAAACACAGCATTCAACACTCTACAGTTCTAAGGAAAATCATGAGCTCTTTTATACATACATACCCATTCCCCTAAAATATTCTACTGGTTGTGGAGGATAAATTCTGGTTTTTTTTCCCAGTCTTTGCACCTTCCCTCCCTCCCCAGTGTGCTTCTGAAGTAAAGGTCTACCTACTCACCATCGCCTTTGGGGTCGCTCAGTGCAGTCGGCGGAACGATTGATGAGCGACGACTTCCAAAGGAACATTCCTTGGAAAACCGTCTCTGGCAGTCGCTATGCACCTGAAACGATAAGAGCACAGCAGAGAGAAAAAAAGGAGGGGGAGAGAAAAGACGAACATTGATTAGTCTTTAGTTCCATCCCAAGAATTAGATCTTTAATATTTCAAATCTTCCTTTCTAAAATTTGGTGTCATATACATATCTCTAACTTGCCTGACAATCTCATACTCCACTCTGGGCCTGTAATATCCCTGAATGCGCAGAACTCTGGTCTTTTCAAAGATAGGCTGGCTATTCAAAAGCAATTAAATAAAGGTCAGTGGGCAAAGTCATCAGTGAAGAAGCTCATATTTCAGTTTCTTCTTGTGTTAGAAAATTCAGTTTGAGAGAAGCATCTAAAAGCCTAGAAAGTCTAGTTCGTGGTGTTTCAACCTCTATGATACTGATATTTTGGCCCAGGTAGTTCTTTGCTATGGGATGCTATCCTGTGAATTGTAGGAGATTTGAAAAATCCTAGGCCCCTTTTACAAGTTACCAGTTGCATCATTCCCCTGAAGTTTTAAACAACATAAATGTCTACAGACATTGCCAAATATCTTCTAGGTCAAAAATCATCCCCCGTTGAGGTCCAGTGGTTCAGTGTTGTAGTTAAGATCTTGGTCTTAGCAGAATTATGTATGAATCAATACTTTATTGTTTACTGGCTATATGGCTTTGCATTCACCTTTCTGAACCTCATATTACTCATATGCAAAATGGGGACAATGAGGTTTAGTTTAAGGTTGTTACAAAGTTTGAGGTAATCAATAGAAAACATTCACTACATAGTGGCAGTGACAATTTATTATTATTATTATTAACCATTAATGAAGAGTACACGTTTCTAGGAAGTAATGAATAAGTAAGGGATCCTTTCTTAAAGATAGACTCCAGATTTTATTTTTCATTGCTCATACTGTCATTTGAGAATTCAGCTTTTCACATTTCTTGGATGGTTTTACCAACTAAGAGCCATCAGATACGAACATCTTAAACTTTTCTCATAAAAATTGTGTAGAATATGTGGAAGACCAAGTTTCTGAGCTCCAGACTGTGGAATATCTATGATATATTTTGGGGTGTTTCTGAGGTTATCTATCTATCTATCTATCTATCTATCTATCTATCTATCTATCTATTATAGTAATAGTCAATCTCCAATCCACTCCTTCTCCAGAAGTCAATTTCTTTAGCAATCAAGGTGATAGGAGTCTTACCGTAGAATCACACCACAGACAGCGGAAGTCTTGCAGTCTTTGATAACTGCCACAACTCTCATGACATACTGCACACTGAGAGCTGACAGGTATGTTTCCTTCTACCCATTGATGGGGCATTGTTTCCTGATGGGGTGAAGAAGAGGCAGAGGTTAATGATTAAAGGAAGGACCAGGTAAAATAAGTACTACCCATGGAGGACTAGTGATCTTTCTAGGGATTGAGATTTAATTCTTTGATATTGGTTAGATCATTGGAGCCTAGGGAATTGTGTCCTTTGCTTGTCTAGTGACAGGAAAAAGTTTTCCTACCCTTCTGTGCCATGACTTAAGGAGACATGGGAGAAGGGGGCTGTGGAAGGGCATGGCTGGTACTTACTATTTCATCTGCAGGCAGAAGGAGGTCATCAGTGATGGACAAAGTATTCCACTTGCAGTCTTTGCTTGCTCTCAAAGCACATAATTTGTGAGATTTCACCTTGCACACTGTGAGAAGTGGAATAAAAGTAAAGATGTGAATCTGGTCACAATGAAGATTCTAATTCTCTTCCCTAAGCCTCTCTGAAAGTTAGAATTCAAATGCATGCTAAATAGTTTTGATCCACGTCCTAAGACCTGTTTCTAATGTGAATCAGTTCCTTTTGATTATTTGCCAGCTAGGCTCACTATTATCCACTTTGAATTAAAATTAATAGTGAAAGGGAGGCTATTTCTGGCTTTTCAATCTTTGTGATCAAATAGTCCCATCTTTCTATGTCCAACCCTCCATTTTTATTCAAGAGAACACCTCTTCATGCTAGCTCCTCCTTTCTTCTTTCCTTCATTAGGTATAACTTCATACAACAACCAGTGGCCTAGAGTGAGTCGATGTACTAAAGGTACCTTCACAGATGATGGCATCTCGAGATAAGGCAGGAATGCTCTCTCGACAAACATTGCAAAACTGAGTCCTGGAACTGTGACTGGAATACCAGTAGTGCATTCCAACGAGGAAAGGATTGTTTTCTGCTGCAGGTATCTAAAGTAAATCAAAGAGAAGAGAGAGTGAAGGGTTAATCACAGAGATGGATTATGGAAGACCAGAAAATCTGCTCCTAGGGCTAAAATGGCCTGTAATATAGATGTCAAAGCGTGTGAAGGAAAGGATAGAAACTTAGATCAAATACCCATTTTTTGTTTTGATTTCATTTTGTTAGTGTTTTCCTAGGTTTTAGAAGGGGAAAAGAAATAGGAATATATTGAAAAAGGAGCTGAAGATAGAGCAATGATCTTTTTCACTCCTTGGCCAACCACGATATTGGTTTAGTTCAAGAAAATTTTTTTCTGATTGATCTTGGCTCTCTTTAAGTAGAAAGCAAAAGAGAGTTGTGAGTTGGAAATTCATTAATATCCAAAGTCTCTGGTCAGCAAAGAAATGGAGGAGGCAAGGATCATATTATAAGCTAAGGAATATTTGTTAGGCTCTACCTCCTCTTGGTGCTGTTGCTGTCAAATGAGCAGAGCATTGATTTACTTGGACAACACTTGAAATAGATTTAACTCCTTTTCTCACAGCTACTACTTCAAGTATTCTTCTTTAAAATTTTTTTGATTTATTTTTATGTGTGTGAGTGTTATGCCTGCATGTGTTTTGCTGTGCCCATGTCATGCAATGCACATGTAAGACAGAAGAGGGCGTCGGATTCCCTGGAACCGGAGTTGTGGATGGTTGCTAGCCACCATATGGGTGCTGGGATTCAAACCTGGATCTTTTGCAAGAGCAGCCAGTGCTCTTAACCACTGAGCCAGCTCTCCAGCCCCTCAAGTATTCTCTTTTGAGTACCACCCTTTGACTACCTACAGCAGTTGCTTGGTTAATAAATTTAATTAATTCAATAATTCATTAAACAAATATTTACTCAGTAACTATTATGCTTAGCACTTTACAAGGTATTTGAACCATAATGGTTAACAAGGCAAAGTGCCTGCCCTTATGGGACATTTTTTTTTTGTCCCATAAGGATATTTTGTTTATTGTCTTCTTTTGTGGAAATTGGTTTGTAGTTTCTGTTATTTTGCCTATGAATGCAGCATTTGTATATCATGGCCTGAGTTTCATGTTTGTAGGAAAGGCATAGGATACACCAGCAATGGTTTTGGGGGTGTAGGGATGAGTGAGCACTGAAACCCTCTACTTTATTCTGTGTATATTTTTGCAGGATTTTTCCATCTTTGTTCCAATTCTTGTGAATATATGAGTGTCTCCTCTGCCTTCTTTTAGAGTTTAGACACAGGCATGTACAGTTATTTTATTTTTGACATTACAATGAGTTGAGTGTGCAAAGGTATGGCAAGACTTTAAAAGAATGATACATTGTGTCTGATGCAAGCTGTCCATTAGAGGGCGCACTATTGAGGGCTCTGCCACACTAAATTCATCCTTAATCAATATTGTTAACCATCTAAGACATAGCACATAGCAATCTGATCTCTCATGCCATGGACACGCTGGATGTGTGCTAAACTACTGTTGGATTGACCAAGAAGCTTCTGTAAAGAAAAGCTACTATGATGAATTAAAGGTCTGGAATTTCTTTGTGACTGGGATTTTATTATACACTGATTCTCTGAAAAAATCTAGGTCTAAGAACATCAGAGTAGAAGGTAGAGAGTCTAGGCATTGGCATTCTGAACTTCCGGTTCCTTTCTATTCTCTAAGCTGACGATTGTAATACAACAAACCTCATTCTTCCTTCTAATCTCTTTCCTCTGCAATAATTGCTAGGAGCCTACTATGTGTCATGTAACATATTAAGCACTGGAGTTATAGAGATTAACAAGTCACAAATGTTACTCTAAAGGAACTCGGTGTACTGGGAGAAACAAATTCTAAAACGGATAATCATAGCCTAGAATGACAAATGAATTCTTCAAGAATGTACAAGGTTCTCAGGATCAAGTTGAAGAAATAAACTCTGCCTGTGTATCTTGGTAAATGTAAAGGAATATATATATAGTACATTGATTAGGTTCAGTTGTTGAAGAGATGGAATGTATATTTCTTGTGCTCATCTTATTCTATAAGGAAAAACAATGGTCTTTTTGAGACAGGGCCTCCCTGTAGCCCCAGCTGACCTAGAACTCACAATGTAGATCAGGCTGGCCTCAATCTCACAGAGATCTGCCTGCTTCTGCTTCTCAAATGCTGAGATTAAAGTTATGCAGGACCACACTCGGGTCTATAAGGAAATTTTGATGTTACAATCCTGGATGAGTGTGTTCGGTGGTTTGAATTGTGTGTTCCTCAAAATATGTTCAAGTCTTAACCTCTGGTACCTATGAATGTGATCTTATTGGGAAACACTGTTTTTATAGATGTAATTAAGATGAAGCCATAATGGATTATAGTGGGACCTAGTCCACTTAGTAGTATATTTAGAGAAATAGGAAAATATTTCCTGAGCCTTAGGTGTAAGGGTTGCATAATGGAAAAGGGGACAGGAAAGAGCCAGAAGGATAAGACACCTGTTGTTAGTTAATGTATTCTAGACATGATAGGGAAGCTACATCAATGAAATTTCCACAGTATGTAGTTTAACAAGATTTGCATTATGACAAAACCAGGAGATATGCCAAGGTGGATGGGGAAATTTCACAGGGTCCCACCTCACAATGAAGAGCTACAGGCAATCAACACATGCTGTGAGCGAATCAGTTTTCTCTAGGAACTAGTTCCCTGAGAGGTTATTGAATCCAAAGTGGGCAGACCTAAACATAGGTACACTCATAGGTGCCACTAACTGAAATATATATATATGTATATGTGTGCGTGCATGTGTGTGTGTGTGTGTGTGTGTGTAGCAATAATAAAGAAGAGGACAAGAAATTGAGGTGGTGTGGGGGTGGCATAAGGGGAGTTGGAAGGGACCTGGAGGAGTGGAAATAATTCAAATACAACACTCATCTATGAAATTCTCAAATAATACTTTTAAACAAGAACAGGAAAATAGTTCCATAAACTGACACGATAGGGAGGAGAGCACCTTGTGATAATATAGAGTACACATACAGGGGAGAACATCATGTAACAACGAAGGCAGAGATTCAGTAATCTACAAGCCAAAGAACACCATTGTTTGTCTGTAGTCACCAGAAGATAAGAGACACAGAAGGATCTTCCTTTACAGCCTTCAAAGAAAGACCCTACCAACAGCATGAATTCATATTTTTACACTCTAGAAATGTTAAAGAGTAAGTCACTGTTGTTTCTGTATACTCAAATTTGTTTGTTATTTTAGTCCTAGAAAATGAATGCAGATTTTTGGAACTGGGGTGTGAGTGTCTCTATAACAAATACTATAATATGAAAGTGGTTTTACAGTTGTTTAGTGTAAAAGAGTAAGACTTTTGAGGCACAACATATTAAAAAGTTTGCATTGCCTCGAATAAGATCTTACCAGAGAAATAAATATTCAAATTGTTTCTTGCATAGTCTGATGGAAATGAGAAATATTATAGGAGACTAGCAGAAAGGTGATTCCTTTAGAGTGAAAGAGAACCGTTTCACTGTACTATTGGATAGAAACCATGGGACATGAGGATCCAATTGGCCATTTCAGCAGAATACTGTCACCATGGGCTGAAAAGGACAGACAGAAGACTAAATGAAGGAAAGTTTTTGGACTTCCGAGACATGAAACAGACCAAGAAAGTTATTCCAGCTGTTAGTATATACTTTTCTTTAAGGAAGATGGAATAATATATTACACGAATTTCTTGGAGGACAGCAATGCTGGTGAAAGAGGCTCAAAATAGCTGTTCTTGCCAACACGAGAGTGTGCACCTATTGGGCATGGTTATTGCTTCTTCAGTTCCAGAAGTTGAGGTTGCCTCCTAGTTTCCAGAAGATGGGGCCACTTTTTCAGCTACAGAGAGAAGATGCCACTCCAGTGGGCTGAGAGGGTGGAGCCAGGAGACAGAACATTGAGCCATAGATAATCATTCTTAGGCCTAGAAACTTAATAAAATTTGCCTTTCTGGGTTGCCAACTTTCTTTAGACCAGTAGCCTTTTTAGTCCTATTTTCTCCCTGTGCCACTTACAATATTGGATTTTGGAAGCAGATAATCTGTTTTCTTGGTCTCATATGTCAACAAGTAGAGAAAAATCTGGCCCCAGAAAGGACCATACACAGAGTCTCACTAGTGCCTTATTTAGATTACCTAGAAGATGATATTTTGGATTTAGAGTTAATGCTAAAATTACATAAATCTGTCGGCATGTTGGGATGGAGTAAATATGTTTTGCACGTAGGAAACACATGAATTTTGGAAGATGAGATGGTAGACCGTAGGCTGAATTGTGTTCCCCAAAACTATGTGTCCAAGTCCTAACTTCTGGTTAGAACTTCTGTGAATGTAACCTTACTTTGGAGATAGGATCTTTGAAGACACATCAGTTTAAAATGAGGTCAACCTACATTAGAGTGAACCCTAATTCATTGACTCACTTGTATTTTTTTTTTTTGCTAGCCATCATTTATTTGAAGATATTACAAGTGAGAGTAAATTGTCCACCCCCTTTATACATCAAGTTTTCTGTCTTGATCTATTTGGAATAATCACCCCCAAAAGCTCCTGAATTCATGATTTATTTTATTAATGAAAGAAAAATTAATAATATTACATAGATAATAGTATTAAATGTAAGATAATAGTATTAAATGTAGTAAATGATCACTAAGAATTAAACTGAATATCAAAGCAACATTACCTTATAACATATTTGAAACTATAAATTGTAGATTTTAAGATATTTTTGTTCATATTTGTAATTAAGACTCTATCCTTAAAAAGGAATCCAGCCTTAATTTATCATTTTATGTCTCTAAAATTATTACCCTTCTCTTAATAGCTCTGATTTGTAATTGCATTGGTGTTCAGGTATGGAACGTTATTTTGGCAAATTCAGCATATCACTGCCAGATAGATTTAAAAATTTTAATTTAGATTTTATGCATTGTATACATCTTGATTATATT